ACAGCGATTATTCAAGTGATAAATAAATATTACATTCAATTGAAGATATGTCACAAAAAGTTCAATTGATTACAATTGTATGCATTACATGTGTATAAATAATATATTACTACTGGCAATGAATGAACGTATTATACTATAGAGTAAATTACAGTTAAAGTGGATTGAAAATTAAATCAATTTAAATGCAAAGGGGAGGGGGTGTTGGCACCAGTTCCTGACTCATGGCAATAGAAAGGGGTCACAAATGAAACCATCTTTCAAGTCAAGTATGGGTCTATTGAATGTCATCTAAATGTGATCAGTGATCACCCACTACTGTAGACTCTGCCCTATTTACAGATCATATGTCTGTCCGATGTATGCCAATGCCTGGCATAGCACTCATCGATAGCATAACAAGTGGTTGTAAAGTGAACTTAAATTCCACAAAACCTTACAATCTATTAATCACTTTCTTATTGAATCAATGATTTGTGGTCTCTTTATGTAAGCCATCAACACTACAGATCTGAACACAATTCTTGAAAACATTACTAAAACAAAGCGTTTATGATACAGCGATTATTCAAGTGATAAATAAATATTACATTCAATTGAAGATATGTCACAAAAAGTTCAATTGATTACAATTGTATGCATTACATGTGTATAAATAATATATTACTACTGGCAATGAATGAATGCATTATACTATAGAGTAAATTAAAGTTAAAGTGGATTCAAAATAAAATAATTCAATTAAGGCGGCAAAGGGGAGGGGGTGTTGGCACCAGTTCCTGACTCATGCACTCTCACTTATGGCAATAGAAAGGGGTCACAAATGAAACCATCTCTTCAAGTCAAGTATGGGTCTATTGAATGTCATCTAAATGTGATCAGTGATCACCCACTACTGTAGACTCTGCCCTATTTACAGATCATATGTCTGTCCGATGTATGCCAATGCCTGGCATAGCAATCATTGATAGCATAATAAGTGGTTTGTAAAGTGAACTTAGACTTAAATTCCGCAAAACCTTACAATCTATTAATCACTTTCTTATTGAATCAATGATTTGTGGTCTCTTTATGTAAGCCATCAACACTACAGATCTGAACACAATTCTTGAAAACATTACTAAAACAAAGCGTTTATGAAATCCTCCCACAAAACACATTATTCAATATACCGTACATTTGAATACAATTAAGGCAATGAAGACAAATGTTAGAGATTTAACAATTACTAAATTGTAATTATCATACATTATGTGGTATTACGGTTTTCATTAAAATTAAGTTCACTAAAAACATCTATACTTAATCATGATCAAATCATTATTTAGTAGAATATTCAAATTAAAAGCAAAAAGTTTTTATCAAATTAAAAATATTTTGTTTTGATTCTGTTTAAATAACAACTCATAAAAAAGTGCAAAATAAAAATTCATTGCAAATACGAAACAATTGCTTTTCTTATGACTTATCTATGATTTAATAGAAAGAATAGGGAAATAAAGATGTAATGAGTTTTGAGTTTAAAATGAATGTAAATAATAAATAGAAATTCAATTTCGTGTGAATATGTCGTGAATTGAATAGATTTCATGAATTGAATAGATTTCATGAATTGAATAGATTTCATGAATTCAAGTGAAGGACAACACAATTGATGGGATTTTTTAGAGGAAAACATTTACAGTAAATCTCTTCTTACTGTTTGTCTAACTCTTTAGGTTTACTGTTACTGTAAATCGTTTTGTTTCCACTTTTATAACAAATAATCACAACTACAGTATTCATGTAATCTAACGTTTGCAACACTTTCTGTTAATATATTCAATATACCGATACTTTTCTCACTATTTTAATGATCGCATAATTAATTGCTTTCATTAATACATTCATCACAAGCCTATCATTACATAACAGGCTTTTAGGCTTTGCTATAGATTTCGCCACAATTGCTATACATTTCATAAAACAACTCTTTGTTTGCATTAATCAAATCAATTGAAACACTGACCGAAACGAGCGAATCCTCTCTACCATTGCTGCCATTAATGGATCCGTTAGTCTTAGCGCTCACTTCGATATCGACTTTGGCCGGAATGGACTCAACCGTGGAATGGCTGTCATTATCGCCATTTTGGACACCATTACCATTGGGCACATCATCGGTGGGAGGGTCGGGATGAGGGGTGGGTGCGTCGGTGTCTTTGCCGGGTCGGGGAACCGGTGTCTTATAGTGGATGACATTGGACTGGGTGCTCTTGACGATAATCTTGTTCTCTTTGTACCACTTGTCGGCCAACTCGTCGATCACCAGCAGTTTGGTCTCATTGGGGATGGATTTGATGCGCTCGACGACCTGTCGGTGGTTCTCATTGGCAATATTGACCAGGTTCACCTCAATTATGCGGTCGCCCTCACGGAGTCCGGCCAACTGTGCGGG